TTGCCCCGCCTGATTAAAAATTTTTTAACAATTTTAATGAGCAGGCTTCCAAGAACAATCAGATCAGAGTATCTGGGAGTAGATGCCCAGATACCAGAATGCTGGAAAAGGTCTACAGTTGATTCCAATGAGGCAGCAGACTGCTTCCATAAAGATGGAAGATGGGTTTGGGGAGGGGGCTTTTTTGTTTTTGCTTTTGCTGTTGCAGAAGTGATTAACAGACTTAAGCAAACTGAAGTTTAAGTTTTTGTCTTTACCCAAAATATGTGAAAATTAAAAATTTAAGGACCTTTGGGTTAAAAGGAGTTCTAATGGAGTTAGTATATAAGCATTCGGCTGCTAACCAAAAGTTTGGCAATTGGAACTTACCAGCTGCCCCACAGGAGAAAGATGAGGCAATCCGCTTCTGTGAAGATTTACAATCTTAGAAACTCCATGGATAGTTCTACTGTGTCCTATAGGGTTGTTCCGAATCAGCACTGACCTGAAGGCAACTTATTTGTTTTGTGGAATGGTTTAAAAATAAGTATTATGTTGTTGTCGTTGTTATTTGGGAGCTCTGGTAGCGCAGTGCCTAAGGCACTTGACTGCTAACCAGAAGGCTGGTGGTTCAAACTCACCAACCACTCCCTGGGAGGAAGGTTGGGCAATCTAATTCTGTTGTGATACTGCCTCGGAAACCCAAGGAGGGGTCGCTATGGGTCAGATCCAACTCCATGGCAATAGTTGCCTTGTCTTTTGTTGTTGTTATTTGCTGTCAAGTCGGCTCCGACTCATAGCAACCCCTCCTTGGGTTCCCAAGGCAGTATCACTATGGAAGTAGATTGCCCAACCTTCCTCCCGGGGAATGGCTGGTGGGTTTGAACCGCCAGCCTTCTGGTTAGCAGTTAAGTGCCTTAGGTACTATGCTACCAGAGTACCTAAACATAAATATAACATTTTTTAAATAAAAATATTTGTTAAAATTTCTAATAGCCTCTGTTCTATATTAAAACCTATAGACTACTTATATCTGTATAGTGGAATAGGTACACAAATAAAAGAAACTTTCTACTGAATTAACATCACAAACTTTTTAAAAATGCATGGTATGTAGATACTTAAGCTCTTTGTTCCTTAAAAGTAGACAAGCATGCATTTAAAAAACTGTATATATTAAGTGCATCAAGAGAGTATAAAATATTTTGCCTGCTGTAGAGTCAGAAATAATCAATCCTAGTGCTTTAAAGTATAAATTCACTGCTAATAAAAACAGGTAAGAATAGCTTTATCTACTTTAACAGTAGATACTTTTAACAGAGGAAAGAATCATTATTAAACGAATGAAAACATACTGAGATTTAAGAAAAGTAACCTTTAGAGTCACCTTGGAATGCTAAGTAGATAGTCTAAGGTGACACTCAGCTCATCCGTATTTGTCTGTTCCAGACACAGTGGGATAGTCAGAATGAGGCCACTCCGTCTGTCCTTTCCTCCTATTAAAGAAAAAAAAATTGAAATGTAATAGACACTAAATCATCTATATTTGCATCCAAACTTACTAAAGTAATTACAAGTTTAAAGAAGAATGGCTACTTATTTTATATACTGTAAATGCTTATGGTACTGTAACAAAAAAAAAGACCCAACTTCATTGCCATCAAGTCAATTCTGACCCAGGGTAATGTTGCAGGACAGAGTACAAGTGTCCCATGAGGTTTTCAAGGCTGTAAATCTTTATGGAAGCAGTCTGCTGCCTCATCTTCCTCCCATGATGCAATTGATAGATTCCAACCACCTACCTTTTGGTTAGCACCCAAATGCTTTAACCACTATACCACCAGAGCTCCTTTAATATTACAAAGTTACAGAAAATTTAGAAAAAATGCACCCATGAAACCTTCACCCACACACAGCAATGACAATTTTAATTTTTTTCCATTTAGTCTGATGCTTAATGCAATCAATTCATCAAACATCTATTGTGTGCCTAGGACAATATGCACTCCCAAATAAAATAAAATAAATGATATCACTGTAGGCTTAAGTAATTTCCAAGCATCCACCAAGGAAGTAAAGCTGTAAGTTATAAGAACTAATGAGTTTATTTGCTAAATTGTGTTGTACAGAACACGTTATGAAATGTGATAAAAACAATTGAGAAAATGTTAAGCGCTATGACAAATATGAATGCCCTGTAGAAAAGTTAAGACTTCAAAACATGAGTAGAACTTGTGCTAACCAAGGCAAAGGGGGCATTCTGTGATGAAGAATGATCCGAGTTTAACTCACAAGAGTCAGATAAGCATTTCTGTTCAAGGGCAATGCCCTATCAAGCTGAGATGATTTTATGGTAATGGTCTGAAAGTCAAGTAATGGAACACTTAACATTTCACATGTTAAGTCTCCTTCAACTGGCCATAAGCATTAAAAACTAAAGCATTTGTGCACAAACAGCTTCTTAGTAAGTTCCCCACATATTTGACTTTCACACTGAAGCCCACCTTCTGACCCAACTGACATTTACAATAATCTTAAAACCCACTGCCATCAAGTCAATTCTGATTCATAGTGACCCCCCACCTTTGGTTTTTCAAGGCAGTGAATCTTTTGGAAGTAGATTGCCTCATCTTCCTTCCGCAGAGCAGCTGGGGGGTTTGAACCTCCAACCTTCTGGTTAACAGTCAAATGCCTTAGGCATTGTGCCACCAGAGCACCTTACCTTACAAACCTAAAAACCAGGAAAATGATTCTATGTGATCTCCAGAAAGCTCACATTGAAAACCGAAAGGTGTCAAGTGAAAAGAAAAACAATAAAGACTCCTATCAGTGACATGAACAAAATTTATGACAAGATCTGCCTTCTATTAGGTTAACCATATAAATTGCTAATATCTAACCAATTTGTTTAACCTCAAAATGGTGATTTCATACGGTTCAACTCAAAAATCAATAGTGACTTCAATGGCATAAAGTTTTTGTTTAGCATATAGGCTTTATTTTTTAAAACACAATAGTTTTCAAACTTAATTCCCTGAATAATTCTGTTGATATGAAAAAATGTCTTATCAAAAAATTTGAAAATGACTGGCTTAAATAATCAACGGTCAAGAGGGGTGAGCTAAGAGACGTTTCAAAACTTCTAAGTTTTATGCATGCACTAAACCAAAGGTTCATACCTGAAACTGGGGCACTTTGGCCTCTGTAGAACTGTCTTTTTAAAAAAAAATTGTATTGTATTTGGTGAAAGTTTACAGAGTAAATCAGTTTTCCATTCAACACTTCATACATGTTTTCTTTCATGCCACTTACTGCAATGCCTACAATGTAGCATCACTCATCCCACTTCCACCCTGTATTTCACATTTCCATTCCGCCTCCTTTCCTAACCCTTCCTGCCTTCTCAACTTTTGTCTTTTGATTTTGAATGGTTGATTGTTCTAAGGAATATGTAGCTCCCTGGTGCTATTGTTTGCCTTATAGACCTGTGTATTGTTTGGGTCAAAGGTGAGCCATAGGGATGAGTTCTGTTCCAGGCTTGAAGGGTGACTAAGGGCCACAGACTCGGTGGCTCCACCAGTCTCTATCTGCCAGTGAGCCTGGTCTTATTGAGTTTTGTTCCACATTTTTCTCCCACTTTATCCAGGACCTTTTAATGTGAACTATTCAGAGCACTCAGTAGTGGTAGCCAGGCACCATCTAGTTCTTTGGGTCTCAGGGTCATGGAGGCTGAGGTTTTCATGGTCTACTAGTCCTATGGACTGTTTCCATGTATCCATGATTTTCTTTATTCTTCTTTGTTCCAGATGAGGAGAAAACAACAGATGACCTCTTGCAAGCTTTTGTAAAACCCCAGTCACTTCTCATCAAAGTAAAACGCAAAACAATATTTTTGTATACCACGTGTTGCCAATTGAGCTTGATGTCCCACATGATCATGGTCCCCAGCCCACAGGCTTAAAGGAGTGACCCACTCCCTGAAGGTGCTTATTTGTGGCTAACAAGTTTTCCTAATTATGCCTCCTGTTATGTTTAAACTCCATATGGACATTTTTACAGCACATACAAATACATATGTAGGAATATTGTCGGTCAAACCCATGTATGGTGATGGGTATATTCCCATTTGCCGATCATATCTGATCTTCTTGCCTGTCTACCTATATATTCACCTGTAGATTAGTGTTGCTGTTACTGACAACGCAGTATTATGTATGCAATAGTATTTGCCTTTATTGTTGTGGTAGTTAAGGTTATGTGTCAACTTGGCTGGGCGTGGTTTTGAGTGGCTGGACAGCTGGATATAGTTATTCCCCATGATGAGATTGGTAATCAGCTCCATGGTAGAATCTACTAGAGCAGCTGAGTAGCTGCCTTAGGGATGTATGTGGTTGTTTCCATTATACAAGCAGCACCATTGGGAAAGGTCTCTGCAGCTATTTTGGCATGCTTGGACCCTGCATGTAGCTGAGTCTTCATTCACCAGCTCGCCATGTTGTTTGCCAATCTTAGGATTGTTCCTGGACTTGAACCAATGGCTTGCTGTGTTGTGTGATAATCTTAGGACTATGCCATTTTACTTGACAACCCTGGGCTTCAGCAGCCAGAAGATGCCTGAGTGAAGAGACTTCTCCAGCTTCAGTGGGCCAGGAGCAAGAAGCAGCAGAGTGGAAGCCCAAAGTTAAGGGGCTTTCTGTCAGCCCCAAGAGCTGACACTTTGAACTCAGACTTCTATTCTCCTAAACCATAAGAGAATAAATCCCTGTTTGTTAAAGCCATACATTTGTGGTAATTTCTGCTAGAGCAGCACTAGATAACCAAAACAGTTGTCTGTACTTCTTGTGCACCTCTTTGTGTCTTTCTTTTTCTTGGTAATACTGTCCTAGTCACATGCTTTTCATATACCGCTTACCCCTTCATCTGTATCAAACCTGTCTCTAAATTACCCATCTATTTTCTCTCCCTCATCCTCCCCTCCTATCCCTGGCAAAGAAAATTTCTTTCCCTATGTAAATCTTCCTTGACTTTTTACAGTGGACTTATACAATATCTGTCCATCTGTGGTTGACTTATTTCACAGCATAATGTCCTCCAAGATCATCCATGTTCCAAGGTGATTCGCTGATTTTTCCTTATTCTTTAATATTGCATAATATTCCATTGTGTGTATGTACAATAGTTTGCCCATCCATTCATCTGCTGTTGGACACTCAGGATGTTTCCATCTCTTTGCTATTATAAATAATGCTGTGATGAACATGGATGTGCATATATCGACTCATGTCCCAGATCTCACCTGTGTAGGATATATTCTTAGTAAAGGGATTGCCGAAATCAAATGGCATTTCTAAATTTTTAAGCAAGTGATATACCACTTTACATAGTGGTTGTACCATTTTACAGTCCCACCAGCAGTGTATGAGAATTCTAATCTCTCCACCTTGCCAGCTTTTGTTGTTTTCTGTCTTGTTGAACTTTGCTATTGTTACCAAGAGTGTATTGCTTTAGTATTTCTTAGAAGGTTGGTCTACTTTTTACAAATTGTCTTAATTTCTTTTTATCTGGAAATGTCCTAATGTTGTTGTCATATGTGAGGGACAATTTTGCTGGGTATATAATTTTTGGCTGGTGTGGTAGTTAAGTTTGTGTGTCACCTTGGCTGGGCCTGGTAGAGTGGCTGGGCAGCTGGATGTAGGATTCCCTATGATGAGACTGGTAATCAACTCCATGGTGGAATCTACTGTGAGCAGCTGAGTAGCAACCTGATGTAGGGATGTGGTCTGCTTCCTATATAAAAGATGAAGGTTGGGGAATGGTCTCTAGTCTATGGCACACTTTAACCCTGCATGTAGCCGTGTCATTGTTCAGCAGCATGCTATGCTCTGCCGACCTTGGGACTTTCAACGGACTTGAAATAATGGCCTGTCGTGTGGTTGGGTAACCTTGGGACTATGCCTTTTCATCTCTCAACCTTGGGCTTGTCAATCTCAGCAGCCAGCAGCTGTCTGAGTGAAGAAAAGCCTCTAGTTCCAGTGGGCCGGGAGCAGAAGGAAGAGCTGAAGCCCAAGGTTGAGGGACTTTGACCCAGCCCTGAGAGCCTGGGACTTTGAACTCAGACTTAAAGCCACCAAACTGTAAGAGAATAAATTCCTGTTTGTTAAAGCCATCCCATTTGTGGTATATTCCTGTAAGAGTGGCACAGACATAACCAAAACAGGAATATTTTTCTTTCAGAATTTTATATATGTCATTATCCCATTGCATTCTTGCCTACATAGTTTCTGCCAACAAATAACAGCTTAGTTTTATTGGTTCTCCTTTGTAGGTGTTGTTGTTGCTAAGTGTCGTCGAGTCGTTTCCGACTCATAGCGACCCCATGCACAGCAGAACAAAACACTGCCCGATCCTGCGCCAGCCCCACAAT